GTGTTGTGATTAATAGCTGACCGAGGAGACCTGATTGGAGTTTCTGGGCTGTACAGTGTATCTGTGTTGGGTCACAGCCATTCCCATTGTAAACATAGAAATAATCGATGAAACCCTGATCCTACACACAAAGGCAGTGAAAGTGTTGTACATTGTAGGGCAGTGAATAGGGTCGGAATGTCAGAGTCCCGGATGATTAGTGTTTGTTAGCGTAACACTTACATCTACTGACTGGCTTATAGTGAGCATTACCTGGGGGACTGACAATAGGCAGTACTAACAGGTGACTTGTGGGGTTAATGTTTACAGACAACTGACAGTACTAACTGGTGACTTGTGGTGTTAATGTTTACAGACAATAGACAGTACAAACTGGTGACTTGTGGGGTTAGTGTTTACAGACAACTGACAGTACTAACTGGTGACTTGTGGGGTTAATGTTTACAGACAACTGACAGTAGTAACTGGTGACTTGTGCGGTTAGTGTTTACAGACAACTGACAGTACTAACTGGTGACTTGTGAGGTTAATGTTTACAGACAGTACTAACTGGTGACTTGTGAGGTTAATGTTTACAGACAGTACTAACTGGTGACTTGTGAGGTTAATGTTTACAGACAGTACTAACTGGTGACTTGTGAGGTTAATGTTTACAGACAGTACTAACTGGTGACTTGTGAGGTTAATGTTTACAGACAGTACTAACTGGTGACTTGTGAGGTTAATGTTTACAGACAGTACTAACTGGTGACTTGTGAGGTTAATGTTTACAGACAGTACTAACTGGTGACTTGTGAGGTTAATGTTTACAGACAGTACTAACTGGTGACTTGTGAGGTTAATGTTTACAGACAGTACTAACTGGTGACTTGTGAGGTTAATGTTTACAGACAGTACTAACTGGTGACTTGTGAGGTTAATGTTTACAGACAGTACTAACTGGTGACTTGTGAGGTTAATGTTTACAGACAGTACTAACTGGTGACTTGTGAGGTTAATGTTTACAGACAGTACTAACTGGTGACTTGTGAGGTTAATGTTTACAGACAGTACTAACTGGTGACTTGTGAGGTTAATGTTTACAGACAGTACTAACTGGTGACTTGTGAGGTTAATGTTTACAGACAGTACTAACTGGTGACTTGTGAGGTTAATGTTTACAGACAGTACTAACTGGTGACTTGTGAGGTTAATGTTTACAGACAGTACTAACTGGTGACTTGTGAGGTTAATGTTTACAGACAGTACTAACTGGTGACTTGTGAGGTTAATGTTTACAGACAGTACTAACTGGTGACTTGTGAGGTTAATGTTTACAGACAGTACTAACTGGTGACTTGTGAGGTTAATGTTTACAGACAGTACTAACTGGTGACTTGTGAGGTTAATGTTTACAGACAGTACTAACTGGTGACTTGTGAGGTTAATGTTTACAGACAGTACTAACTGGTGACTTGTGAGGTTAATGTTTACAGACAGTACTAACTGGTGACTTGTGAGGTTAATGTTTACAGACAGTACTAACTGGTGACTTGTGAGGTTAATGTTTACAGACAGTACTAACTGGTGACTTGTGAGGTTAATGTTTACAGACAGTACTAACTGGTGACTTGTGAGGTTAATGTTTACAGACAGTACTAACTGGTGACTTGTGAGGTTAATGTTTACAGACAGTACTAACTGGTGACTTGTGAGGTTAATGTTTACAGACAGTACTAACTGGTGACTTGTGAGGTTAATGTTTACAGACAGTACTAACTGGTGACTTGTGAGGTTAATGTTTACAGACAGTACTAACTGGTGACTTGTGAGGTTAATGTTTACAGACAGTACTAACTGGTGACTTGTGAGGTTAATGTTTACAGACAGTACTAACTGGTGACTTGTGAGGTTAATGTTTACAGACAGTACTAACTGGTGACTTGTGAGGTTAATGTTTACAGACAGTACTAACTGGTGACTTGTGAGGTTAATGTTTACAGACAGTACTAACTGGTGACTTGTGAGGTTAATGTTTACAGACAGTACTAACTGGTGACTTGTGAGGTTAATGTTTACAGACAGTACTAACTGGTGACTTGTGAGGTTAATGTTAACAGACAGTACTAACTGGTGACTTGTGAGGTTAATGTTTACAGACAGTACTAACTGGTGACTTGTGAGGTTAATGTTTACAGACAGTACTAACTGGTGACTTGTGGGGTTTATGTTTACAGACAGTACTAACTGGTGACTTGTGGGGTTAATGGTTACAGACAGTACTGACTGGTGACTTGTGAGGTTAATGTTTACAATCAATAGACAGTACTAACTGGTGACTTGTGGGGTTAATGTTTACAGTGGTGACTTGTGAGGTTAATGTTTACAGACAATAGACAGTACTAACTGGTGACTTGTGGGGTTAATGTTTACAGTGGTGACTTGTGAGGTTAATGTTTACAGACAGTACTGACTGGTGACTTGGGAGGTTAATGTTTACAGACACTACTAACTGGTTTCTTGTGGGGTTAATGTTTACAGACAACTGACAGTACTAACTGGTGACTGGTGGGGTTAATGTTTACAGACAGTACTGACTGGTGACTTGGGAGGTTAATGTTTACAGACACTACTAACTGGTTTCTTGTGGGGTTAATGTTTACAGACAACTGACAGTACTAACTGGTGACTGGTGGGGTTAATGTTTACAGACAGTACTGACTGGTGTCTTGTGAGGTTAATGTTTACAGACACTACTAACTGGTTTCTTGTGGGGTTAATGTTTACAGACAACTGACAGTACTAACTGGTGACTTGTGGGGTTAATGTTTACAGACAGTACTGACTGGTGACTTGTGAGGTTAATGTTTACAATCAATAGACAGTACTAACTGGTGACTTGTGGTGTTAATGTTTACAGACAGTACTAACTGGTGACTTGTGAGGTTAATGTTTACAGACAGTACTGACTGGTGACTTGTGAGGTTAATGTTTACAGACACTACTAACTGGTTTCTTGTGGGGTTAATGTTTACAGACAACTGACAGTACTAACTGGTGACTTGTGAGGTTAATGTTTACAGACAACTGACAGTACTAACTGGTGACTTGTGAGGTTAATGTTTACAGTTAACTGACAGTACTAACTGGTGATTTGTAAGGTTAATGTTTACAGACAGTACTAACTGGTGACTTGTGAAGTTAATGTTTACAGACAACTGACAGTACTAACTGGTGACTTGTGGGGTTAATGTTTACAGACAACTGACAGTACTAACTGGTGACTTGTGCGGTTAGTGTTTACAGACAACTGACAGTACTTCCTGGTGACTTGTGAGGTTAATTTTTACAGACAACTGACAGTACTAACTGGTGACTTGTGGGGTTAATGTTTACAGACAGTACTAACTGGTGACTTGTGGGGTTAATGTTTATAGACAGTACTAACTGGTGACAAAAAACCATGTAGATGTTATTTGAATTTTAAGTAAATTACAAACCAAAAATTGCTGAATTGAAGGTGCATGACAACTATATTGAGGCTTTCACATGAAGGGACATCAACAGCCATTCGTAAAGCTTCAGCTGTATCAAGGTCACTGATAACAAATATTTGGATGTGTTCACCTGAAGGATGATCAAAAGCATAAGCCATTCATTAACCTCAACTCATTTACCCCTGAAATATCATAATAAACTATTCCAGCCTTTGAATAAGAAGAGTTCAAATGTGTCTTCAGGGGTGAATGAGTTAATCTGTGTCAAAGTCACTGAAGCATGCCCTCCTGTCTTAGAAGCATACAATGTACATGATGTTGTTCAGGGATTTCGTTTGATTTCATTGGTCAATGTACGTCATAACCCATGTGACGTAAGAAAGATAACAATTATACCCATACATGGTAGAGTCGGAAACATATATATTTACTGTAGTAATCCCTTTGTCAGTTTATCTGTGTGTCCATATTAACCCTTTCACCACTGTAAACCATAATGGACTCATCCATGTCAATTCATGGTAGAGTCTACTCAAGTTACATAGGGGTGAAAGGGTTAAATAAAGCTTGTGTTAAAGCTGACAGTGCTAGTTATAAAGCTTTGAAACAGTTCGTTGTATATCTATAACTTAAGTTACTGTGGGTACAAACTCTATAATATATTTGACCCCCCAGTTGGAGTCAATGGGGAACATTGTATAACTCTGACACTGTTACATTGAGATATTGCCAACTCGAACATATTTTACACTTCTGTGTACCTACGCTTTACTGGTCATTTGTCTGATGAAGGTGACAGTGTGTATCGTTCTGTGTAACGTCACACAAAATGACTTACTGGTTGTGATACATAACCCTTTCATACTCATACCTACCAACTTTCCTCCATGTTGATGTTCAGTTCTGTGGTTTGATTTCAAGTTTTCTTCAGTTTCATTTCCAGCAACAGCATTGGTGTCAACGAGGATGATAACTTTACAAGTATTGTCTAGTTTTCGCAACGTTTCTTGGAAGTTGTACAGGACTTTTGTGAAATGTGAACCAGGTGTTGTACTGTAAATATAAAAATATGTTTTGACCAATCGGGTAACAGGATTCTTGTGAAGGGTAAATTTTGTTTACATTGTGTAATGTTGTGTACCATGGTTACTGTTATTTCCCACGGCTTCTATTTACCTTGGGTACTGTTGTTTACCATGGGTACTGTTGTTTACCATGATTACTGTTTACCATGGCTACTGTTGTTTGCCTTAGTTACTGATGTTTACCTTGTGTACTGTTGTAGACCATGGTTACTGTTATTTACCATGGTTACTGTTGTTTACCATGGTTACTGTTAATGTTGTTTACCATGGTTACTGTTGTTTACCATGGTTACTGATGTTTACCTTGTGTACTGTTGTTTACCATGGTTACTGATGTTTACCTTGTGTACTGTTGTTGACCATGGTTACTTTTGTTTACCATAGTTACTATTGTTTGCTTTGTACACTGTTATTTACTTTTGCTTTTTGTCCGTTGCAGGGAAAGTGGCATTGACGGCCATTGACACTGGGATCGAGGTGTTAAATCGCCAAGATAGCCAGCATGTGATCGCACAGAAGAATTGGAAGCTGCTTCTCAACTGTTCTGTGACTTCCAAATATGGTGCACCGACGATAACCTGGCTGAAAAATGGGGTTCCCCTCAACCTCGACAACCGGATATCGAAGGACATCAACGGCTCGCTTTTCTTTAGGAAAGTGGTCAACAAACGTAGGAAAAACATCACAGACGAGGGTCTGTACGATTGTCTCGCCTCCAACTCGAAAGGAACGGTGCTGGCCCGCCGAGTCAAACTAGAAATCAGTGGTAAGTGCCGCCCCACAACACCAAATAGTTTATATTTACTTCCTTCCGTATTTTGTAGTGATTGGCAATTTGTATAAAATCATAATCGATTATCGGTTTGTAAACGAAATACGTGATCAGATTGATGATTGATTGCATAATCTGTGTATAAATGTTATGTGAGGGAATACTCCTACAAAGTGAGAAAAATTCTGTTACATTATCAAGTATTGTATGTTATGTTATATAACATCAATCGACAGAATTGTTATCTATAATTAAGGTTTCTTCCTTTTATGATGAGTGGACTTAACTCATTCACCCCTGAAATTTCATAATGAGCTATTCCAAGCTTTGAATTGGAAGAGTTCAAATGTGTCTTCGGGGATGAATGAGTTAAGCAACTTTATGCACTTTTGTCAACGATATTGTAAAAATCATAAGAATAATAAATGACTGTCAATGTATGATTTTCATGGAAGACATTTGACATTTTAATTTCAATAATGAACCGATTATATGGATTACGGAAAGGGCAATCGATAATTGGAATTGGAAAACTAATTGATTTTCTATTAAAGTCGATCATCAGCTTATCACTTGTATTTTAATACTCGTATTTTACATAAAACGTTAAAACAGGGTTTCCTGTTACCCTGTAAAAACACTCACTAATTCTACTTTTACAACATCAGCACAAAAATATATGTCCACAAAATTTATTAACACAAAATACTACAGCATTTTCAATGTTGTAAAAAAATTCTCCTTGCACAGTAATTTGTAATTTTGCGAACTATCAGGATTTCTGGATATTTTCGGTTTAGCTAGCTATTAACCCTTCCACCACTGTAGACCATAATGGACTCATCCAGATCAATGCATGGTAGAGTCTACTAAAGTTACATAGGGGTGAAAGGGTAATAGAGATTGAGTTCTCGCATACTTTATTGTTATTTTGGGCATTGTTATTTGAGACTGAATTCTTGGGTTATGTTGTCATAAAGCATTAAAAAGGCTTTGAACTTAATCACCCCTGAAGACACATTTGAACTCTTCCAATTGAAAGGTTGGAATAGCTTACTATGAAATTTCAGGGGTGAATGAGTTAAAACTTGACTCTGTAAACATAGAGAACTACTGTATGTAAAAGAACTAGAAACAGAAAATAATCGTAAATACAGTAAAATAAAGATAAAATGGGGGAAAAGAAAAAGAAAATTTGTAAAAAAAAATGAAATGGACATGAAAAAATAGAACTGGATTGTAAAAACAGAGATTCAAAAGAGGAAATATGAAAGGAAATTGTGGAATAAGAATAAGAAGGTGTGTTGTACAGTGCTACAGAGGGAGGTATACAGGAGGAGCCGGCCAGCATCACACACTCTCTGCTGGAGTATAGATACACAAACAGCCAGTATAGCCATATTGTCAAAGTGCTTGACCTTATACCTTTCTAGGTCAAACACCCAGGCTGTTCTGGGAAGTGTGGAGGTAATGGTTTATCACTCAGGGGCACCAGAAGGGTGATCTTCTATATATACTTACTGGACAGTTATAATGAACTAAAGAGGTACCGGAAGGGTGATCTTCTATATATACTTACTGGTCAGTAATAATGAACTAAAGAGGTACCAAAGAGTGATCATCTATAGATATATACTATACTGACCTTTTTGCCCTACTGGACATACAGATAAATGGACAACAGAGTGGTGAGCTACTAAATTGACCTGTTAATTGGACAAAGATTAAAAACTTAGAGGTACCAGAAGGGTGAACTGGACAGTGTTGGGAGTAAAGAGGCACCAGAAGGGATATTTGTTAGCATGTGGATGGGATATGAGGAGATATTTGTTGGTTTGTTCAAGGGGTACAAGAGGGGGTAAATTTTGACCAGTTCAAGAGTAGGAAGAGTATTGTAGTCCTGTGCATGGGGTTCCTGAGGGGCAGTAGTCTGTATACAGAATACAATGTGGGTGATTTATTTGCCTGTGCAAGCATAAAAAGTGGGGAAAAATAGGTGGAGAAATTGTTGACCTGCTCATAGGGACACAAGAGGGGAGACAGGTTCTTGGGGTACCTGAGAAATGTGTTGCCCTGTTCAAGAGGCTCTGGAGGGAAATTTGTTGTGTACCAGGATGCTTAAATTTGTTCAAGGGACAGGAGTACAGCCACCTGATAAATCTCACTTTGGAAAAATGAAAATAATCTGTGATTTAAAGGATTCAACAACAGCAAATCAAACACTGTATCGAAGGAATATTAAACTTTTCAAAAACAAACAGAATGGGGCGCCAATAAGAATGTCGTATAAGCCAGTACTATGACAGTTTCTATAAAGAGAGCCTATCAATGATTTATATAAAGAGCCCTATCTAAGATGTTATAGCTATATAGTGAAACATTGAATATATAATTATTTCAGATAAGACCAGAAGTTGAATGCAAATCCTTCATTCTATTTGACTCTTGATATGTAGGGCTGTTAATGTTTCGTTCATGAAAACAGAATTTGTCGACATATTGTATCTAACCCCTGAACAGCTAGATCGCTACAAATTGAAATTCCTTCGATACTAAATGTTTCAGTTGATCAGCTTTGAAAAAAAAAATGAGAAAAATTCCATGTCGGTTTAATCATTTGTTTGTCGTTTTATTTTGATGTTGTGGAAGTCTGTACTCTGACAGGACATTTAAAACAACAAGGTCAGGGAACCAGCTGTTTGATTGATCCTGCTTTGATTAATGATCTGCCCTTGTGGCCAAAGGCTCCGTTATCCTTCACAAGAGCTATAAACAAGCCTGTCACAGTGCATAAGAATAATCATAAAAAACCTGTGACACCTATTAAATAGCTTCTCGGATAGTGATAACATTGAGTGGAGCTACTCAGATCCTCAACCTACCATTGTGTGGTCCAAATATAAAGGGCAGCCATTTGGTCGCCCTTGTACCCGATACCTATAAACTATCGACTGTTAACCCACATCACCCGACCCGCTATTCGTCTTCAAATCCCTCATTGTCCACGTTCTACCTGTAACGAACTAATTAAGTATGCATACTGATCCAGGTAAAGCGGAGTTCATGCTAGAATGAGCTCATTGAGAAATCAACACCCGCGTTAAAAGTCGATCTGATTCGAGTTCTGTTAACTTAGCACAAAGCAATCTAAACAAACTAAATGTCAATCATTCAATGTAAAAAAGCTGCTGTTTTTAAATTTCTTGAATAAGTCTTACAATTTTTCAGTGTTTTTTTTCTGCCAATGTAAACTCTGTCGTGTTACAACCACGTTCCCAGTGCAAAATGGGCAATTTGTAAATTTCCAAAAATGTTGCTTTCATTTCCCCAATTTCCAAAAATGTTGCTTTCATTTCCCAATCATAAAACAAAACATAAAAGTCATATTGTCGTTTTAGAATTCAATAAGGGACTGTGACAAAATATGGATGGTCAAAGTAAAATTTAAATGGAGTGAACCACCGCCACCGCAAAATATATATATCATGAAAACTCTTTCCCAAAAAATGTGATTTCATGCAAATCATTCTCGCAATCTTTTTATGACTGTAAAAATTGAAAAAAAGGGGGAAAAAAAGAGGAAGATATTTACGTCACTAAAAGTTGCTAATTAGTTTTAGCTCACTGCCGTACAAAGTACTATGACAATTGAGCTTCTGTTGTGTTTCGTCTGTATAGGTATGCTTTGAGTGACATCTGTCTAAAAACGAGCTGACTTCAACCAAATTTCCAAGGCTGTTTACCCAGGGTTATCTTATATATGTCAAAGACTGGAGAAAATAATTTGAAGTCTTGGATATTTAGTTCATTCTTATGAAAAACAGACTGTTGAGTTTAACCCTTACACCACTGTAGACCAGAATGGACTCATCCACATAAAATGTATGGTAGAGTCTACTAAAGTTACCGAGGGGTAAAAGGGATAAGGCAATAAGCTTTGGAACACCAGATCTTCGTCCTGAAGATTGAACAAAAACTTAATTTCAACAGCATATTATTTTTTCCTTAACAAAATTTAATTTAAAACTTGAAACCAGTATACCGTAAGTTAATCAGGACTGCTTAAGACAAGACACAAAAAAAACAAAAAATCTTACAAAGATAAAAAATGTTTTGAAGTTTGAGAAGAAAGAAACCTTGATTGTCAGTCAATTTGATGATAATGACGTTTTCATAGAAGTTGGAAGTTTTTATTGACAAAGATCGCGGAATACACTTAGGGATTACCTCATTCACCCCTGAAATTTCAAAATGAACTATTTCCAACTTTGAATTGAATGAGTTCAAATGTGTCTTCAGGGGTAAATGAGTTAATGGGAAATATGATTACTTGTGCTGCATCAGAAGTAAAATCCAGCAAACAAAATACTGGGGAAAAAACAAAAAACTGGAGCTAAAACCACACACAATAGCAGGAGTATACATTAGAGAAAAAATTGTGTCTATTGCAAAGGACGGAATCAGAACTATGATTCGCTAGCAAAGAGCAATAAATAAAGTTTGAAACAAAATAAAAAAAATAAAAATTAAAAATTCATAAAACAAGGACAAATGTTAAATATGAGTCGATAGAAAAAGGGATCAATAAGGAACATTAAAAAAGGAACAGAAAAAACCCTGATTGTGTCATGATCAACACAATAACTGAAAGAAAGCAGTAAAGGAACCGAGCTAGGAGATATAAAATCAAGGGGAGAACGTCCTCCCCTCAAACATAACGCATCGCAGAATCTGGTCAAATCTTGTGGTGCCTCGGCCGGGCCTTCAGTTCCTACACCTCATGTGGAACCTTAAATACCCATAAATTTGGTTTGTCTGGAGGCAAGTTCTGGTGTTCTTAGCTTGTCTGTACTCAATAGATTTTAATACATTCCTAAGGATGAAAATAATAATGTTTTACAGTAAAATGAAGTTTTTATATTTTTCTACTCTGACAAATAAAACTTTTTTTTACACTAACGTCATAATTGTGCATATTTCATGCCGACATTCCT